GGGGGGGGGGGGGGGAGAGAGAGAGAGAGAGAGAGAGAGAGAGAGAGAGAGAGAGAGAGATAGAGAGAGAGAGAGAGAGACAGACAGACAGACAGACAGACAGACAGACAGACAAACAAAGAGAAATTGGGTGGGAGGAAGTGACAGAACTTCAAGACCAAAATATCACGAACGCATCTATCAAGAAAATAGTAAAATTCTGGAAATCTTGGGGTTTAAACAAAAAAACTAACCCAGATCAAACATTGACTTCACATTTGTGTTTGACGAATTGACGTTCTCAAGCAACAGTTAGAGTAAATGCTAAGAATAAACAACCTAAAATGCTGTGGCAACCAGACTTCAACCTGTGCAATGATGCCCCCCCCCAAAACACATAAACAAATCACTTTGAAAGGGAGGTAAAGACCTCCCAATTCCCAAAATTACCCAATCATAATTTCAGCTCACCTGATCAGCATCTGTTGTACAACTCATGAGCGCAATAGCCAGTTTCATACCGAGCTGCTTGCGTTGAGACGCTGACTCTGCCTTCTTCCCGGCCTGCTGGTTCATGAGTGGATCTGAAGAACAGACATAGAACATGGAAGCTAGTAAGTATTCTCCCTCCTCACACCAAACCCCTCCAACTTAAATGACAAGATCTAGAGCAAAAATTAATTCCTTCAAACCTTTTGAAATCCAAAATTAGAAATTTTCCCATGCAACTTTCTTTGAATTTAATTACACACCCCTTGATTTCAATTTCCTAACCTCTTTCATCTTAAACATAAGATTAAAAAGAATCCAACATACCTCCTAAACCTTGCCAAACTGATAATACACTTCGGTCATTCTGCAGCATACCGGGAAGGATCTTTTGCAGCAATATTTCAGATTTCTGTGCCACTGTTTCCTGAAAAAGCAAATAAACAAGAAGTCAAATTCACATCTCCATGGGTGTATAGAATTTTAAAAAAAAAAAAAAAAAAAAAAAACCCAAACCCCCAAAAACCCAATGTTACAACTACTGAGCTTTATAGACAAACAATCTGCCATCTTGAGTTTCAGCATTAAACATAAATGACACCAATGAGACATACTCCTACTACCATAAGAGTAAAATGAACTTGACAGCATGATGCGTTTGCTAAGCACAATGCTCAGACAAAATCCCAAGCTTTCCAACTCGAAATGAAAATATGAAAGATTTGGTAAAAAATCATAATGCTGTCCATCCCTTTTCTGAAGTAAACATTCCTGAAATCTTACCAAAATAACACGTAAGAGCTTGCTATCATTTTCCTCTGCCAGAACTGGAAAGCCCCAGTGCTTTTTCAAAAACTTCTTGTTGACCACATCCTGAAAAACAGATAAAAAATAACTTGAAATTTTCTAAAAATAAAAAAAAATTTAAAAAATTAAAATTAAAAAATGTTTATTTGAAAATTACAATAAGAGGGTGCCAATAATTTCAAAATGATGTCCTTAGTCACCCACAGATAAGTCAAAATGTCAAGAGCCTCAATGTAAAGAACCTACAGTCTTAATAGTGCAACTGTTATAGTGGCTGACTACAATGTCCAGAAAACTGACAAATTGATGAAACAGTATTTTGCATGTTTATTGCCCTCATTTTTAAAGGTAGATTATATGCAGTTAAAATTTTTTTACACAATAGCCAGATAACTGAATGTTGTTACCGAAAAAACAACGTTTGCTTTAATTCTTTATCTCTGAAGGGGAGTAAACACACTCTGCCGGGGGCGTCTTTTGGCACGAAATCTAAAAAGCAGTAAAACTGACATAAATATATGCATCACTAAATTGGCCAATGAATTAAAAACAAGCGAACCTATTTTGATAGTTCTTCCTCTAATGAAAGAACTCCCTGTAAAAGAGACTTATCTTCGGCAATCGCTGAAAACTAATTTGATGCTGCAGTCGTTCTAAAGGAATGAGCCCGAATCACAGTGGTTCTGGCCGTGAGCTGCTGGAAGCAGCTTGCCGGAGAAAAGGAGTTAATGATAATTAGGAAGTTATTATCAAAGTTGTACTCTTAAAAATATTGTCTTGGGACGTTTGCAAAGAAATTGTTTTCTCGGTAACACAATGCAGTTTTTGGGTTCTCCTGTACAATTGTAAAAACTGCATATAGTGTATGATAGCAGTATACTCCACGACATTCCGTCACTCAGTACAGTTCTGTAGATGAGAAGACAGGCAAGATTATAAAATCACACTGAGGTAAACATAAAATTGATTCAAAGTCAAAAGGGACTCACTGGAAATTTCTCCCGACAGACCAGCAATAAAGACAGCTTGTCTAAAGAGCACTGCTCCCAACCCAATTTCACAGATTCCCGTATTTTGGGCCACACAGATTCACCAAAGGTATCCACAGAGATCTGTTAGAATCAAAAACATGAGCTCATTCAGAACAATGCAAAGTTCAAGCACACAAAGCATGGTAAATGAAACAGTACTTACATTTTTAATAATTTAAACCAACATATATACTAAATAGCAGCATGTATTCATCAACAGTTGAAACAGTGCTTAATTTTTTTTTAAAGAGTTTTTATAAGCCCATACATACTAAATAGCAGCAAATATTCAACAACAGTATTTTTTAAAAAATATCCCCGTGACTGAAAATTGGGGTACACAAAGGAGGGGAGAGAAAAAGAGAGTTTTCAGATACGTACAACACCCTCCATCACATTCCCCCTCCTTTCCCCCCAACATCAGCATGTTGTTCTTTTAAGCTTACCAAATTTCTACAGATACAAAACAAACCCCGAGCAGCTTCTCTTCTCCAAAGTTCGGACAGAGATGTTTAAAATGAATCAAAAGGAGCACCTTCCACAGTACCATTAAAAAAGCCCTTTTACACTGTGCACAATTGACACAAGTTCTATTTCAACATGGGGAAGACATTTTATCTCAGAATTCTATATTTGTGCCAGGTTCTAATAATACCCGGACGTCTAGATCAAATTATGGTCCTGTCTAGTAGAGAAAAAGGAGTCTACTTCCATTTTGCCAGTGACGGTATAAAACAATTTTTTTAAAAATCTTAACACGATTGCTTTATCATTGATTCATATTGCCCAAGTATTTCACAGTATACAATATTATACACATAGTCACCTGCTGTACAAGGTCCCCAATTGTTTTATTACACACAGGCTTTAAGTAAGACTTTTTCTGTGCCATGGACAGCAGCTCCTCCATGACTGTGCCAAGATCATCATTGCTCATCTGTAGAAAATAACCACCAGAAAACAAAACATAGAGCAGTCTTTTTTTTTTAAGGCTTACAATTCTGATGTTTCATGAAATTGTTAAAAAATTACATGAGGAAACTGGAAAGCCTTACTAAAAAACAACAACCTACAAAACAAAAATGTGATAAAAAGAATATGACCACATTAAATTTGTAGGAGCAAACTTATTTAATTTCCACAAAAAATCGAAAGATTTGCTGAGACAGAAATGTAGAAAGCTCATGTTAGGACAAAATGAGCAGGGGAATCAAAAGGATTACCTTCCATGGTACTATTAAAAGTGCTGTGTTTGTGTTCCAACTACCTACAAGTGTTACAAACTACACACACACATCCTGTGTTCCTAATGCCTTGTCTTGGAAATTTAAGGACAGATAAATCATTTAGAAAACTTCAGTTCTAAGAAATTCTATGAACCTAGTAGTCTCTGAGTATTTGGCAAGCTCAGTAAGAACCACTAGGGAATAAAGATTTCAACCATGGCTACAGATATTCTGCTAATGTAGAGAGAAAAAAAGAAAGAAAGAAAATGCATACATGAGAGAGAATTTAAAAAGTAACATGTATACTATTTGAAACAAATAATAAAAACATTTCAACACTCACAAGAGGCTAGTTTTAACTTTTGAAAAAAAATTCTTTAAACCAATTTCCAATTTTTTTAAAAACCCTCAACAATATATAGAGAAGGAACAGAAATCAAAAAGTAAAAGTTACCTCTGCAAGTCTCCCAGACTGGATGAGAGAAGAGAAGGCAAAAGCTCTGCCAAGGTAAATTCCTCCAACTTCCTGTAAGAAACAGAAAAACAAAAGGCATTAGAAATGTATTTGACATCATTAAACACAAAATGAAAAAACATGACTATTTGGATCCAAGGACAAGTAATATGATTGTAATGGGTTGCACAACATCCTATTTAGATAAATTTAAAACAAAAAGATGTGCAATAAATTTAAATTCACTATTTCTCAACAATAACATCATTCCTTTTCACAATAGCTAAATAAAGACAAACACAATCATTTTTAATAAAGCAATATAGATCTACTCTGAAAGCAAAATAAAAGAACTAAAATTCTTAATTCAGCAACTATTAAACTGAAAGCAAGAAAATTCTTTACAGGCAACACAAGCACTTGTCAATATTTCCAAACATTTTATCATTAGCATGTAAAAAATAACCAGTTGAATGGTTTAAAACAAACTTGAAGCTCCTTTCACAAGCTTCCTTTTAAAAACAAACTGACATTTTTCAAGATGCAGTGGAATAAGGCGTCCGTCAATTTTTGGGCTTGTGGAGTTATTGCTATCGTCTTGAAAGTTATGAATTTGCCTTGCTTTCGATGAAAGAAAGACCCATTTATCTTGAATACAAGTCGAGATTTGCGATTGAAAGAGATGGGGGGTTGTCTGATTTCAGAGGTAAAATAAGCGAGAAAATGGTTGCCAAAGTTTGATTATTTACTTAGCCTGAGAGTCCATGGAAACTGACAATTTAGATTTTGTGTGCCTTTAATCAACGTTTTTCAGTAAAATCCACACAGAAATGGGTTTGTGGACATGAAAGGTGTAGAGCCAAAAAACCAAAATTTCTCTAAAAATTGTCAAACTAGCGGGAAAATGCCAGTTTCTTCAAATGTATTATTTTGACGAGCGTCTTATTTCACCACGCTGCCTTACATATCTACATTATATTATAGAGCATCCATTAATTACTTACAGCTTTAGATCGCTTATCTTGGCCAGCAATCTTCAATTTCTCTTTGATTGTTTTTAAAATCTCTGCAGTCGACAGACTTTTGTTTGTCCTCAGAAGCTGGATGAAGGAGAAATAAACAATGATATAAAACTCAGAATTTATGGAAGAACTAATAATCAAAGAGAGCTAACTGATAAGTAAAATAGAAGAATATGTTACGATAAATGAGGAAATGTGCTGAAAAGGCCTTTTTTCTACAAAGAAATATCATAGTGTAGTATCTTTATAAGAGGACAGGGAGTTTGAAAAAACCCACCAAAAACCAAAAAAAAAAAAAAAAGGGAGAATATAAAGTTTAACCTCTCTTCATAAACTTACAACATTCATACCCTTGCAAATTTAACAAGGAAAAGACACTGAAAAACCAGATAAAACTCTTGAACAAAACAAATTGTTCTTCAAAATCTACCTTTACAAAACAAATGCCTTCTACAGGAGCATATAATCCACCAGCATCAACAAGAGCAAAAAAGCCAAACACAATGTTATCAAACTAATAGCTCTGCACTTACCTGTGTGAGGGCGACGGAGAAACCAACACGAGCGAACTTTCTGCCTGAACTGAGGCCTCTGATGAGTCGCTCTCTGCAGTACTTGAGAACCATGGCCTTTTCATTTTCCTGGATAAATAATAATGTTTTAGAGAACAAGGAAAAGACGTTACATTTTTCCACAAACAATAATATTGACCAATAACAAGATACTACTCTCCCCTTACTGAATATAAAGCTACAGAACTGTAAAGGGTGGGGTATCGGAGGTTTAATACTTAATTCCAACCAGCCACTGTCTGATCTGTAGCTTTCATAGGGACTTTCCCCCTAAAGAATTCCCAAACTTTTCTTCTCCGGAGCCAACAATTCCTTCCTAAACCATATGTTTTACCTTTCACTTTCAACATCAGAATTGGTCATCAGACTTGACAAGAAAATGGTTTCAGCACATATCTCAATCTGTTTCAATTTTTTCACTTTCAATTCCAATCAACATCCTGGCATGCACACATAGTAACAGTAAAATCAGCAGGTTGTAAAATTACAGGCTACACCAAGGGAGAAAGACAAAGTTGTAGATTCTCCCCACCCCAACATTACCCTGGCACTATTTTGTTTCATTGAAAAGGCACATGTTTCGAGTACAGAGAATAATAAGAGAACATACTCAGGATCTGAAAATTTGTTCTCATAGTATGTTTTCGCCATGCGCATTGTTCACTAGTAGTGCGTGCAGTGTTAGTACTGTTAGACAGCACAGCATCAAATTTTGACTATCATTCAGTCCAGTATGGGTTTGTATAAATCCGGTTTTGGCCCCAACAATAACTATAGACAGTGGGCTTTGGCTCCACCGACGATTACTTCTGGTTCTAAGCGATTACTTTTCAACATGTGAGCTGATATGGACAGATAGGCCTATATATCAAAGCCAATTGCAAAACATCAAATTATGGTTAAATTCAGCAGAGCAAGCCCCCCTGACCCCCCCCCCCCTCCCCTCATGTTTTTGCTAGGGCAGGGGAACAAGCCCTCCTGGAAAGGACTTCCGTTACGAGCGACCACCCCAACAAACACAATTATAAAGAAGAGACCTAGCCCTGCCCCTAGCCTCAACACTTGCCCTAAACACTCTATTACTCTTATCTGTATTTAATTTTCATAGTAGTTGTTCGCTACGGAATTCCTCCCGCACTACTGAAACCCCCACCTTGTTAAAAACAAGATGAAATATTACTGCTCATTTTGTAGTGAAAAATAGCAACACATCTCTTGCTCTCGTTCAGATAAAGCATCTATTACGGTCGAATAATTTTTAAGTCAGTATCGATATCCATTTACTCTTGGGGCAAAAACTAGGGGTGGGCAATGAGTCGCTTTACGAAAATCCGGAAAAGTTGGTGTACCCCTTTAGGAAAATCCGGATTTTAACCCTGTTTTCCTCCGCACACCATTCTAAAGTGGGAATGAATCGCTTGTGAAATGGTCGGCGCGCGGTTATTTAGATACCCTGCTAAAAATTTATATCCTAGTTTACAGTTCCCTTAGTTATATTACATGTATGCGGCAGCTATTTTTTTCCACCTGTTTTTAAAGGTAGGAGAAAGTATCTATTTGGATAAAATAAATGTGGCAAGTAAATTAATTTACCATCGCTATACCGGCGACAACGACCGGTGGGCAGGATGCTGGCGTCAAATCATGTCAAGGCCCAACCCCCTTCCCCACCCCTTTTTTCCCCTTCCCTCAGACATATAAGGTAGCCTTCGCGTGAAGGTGTTGACGACTGACGTCTTTCACAATACCACCGGGCTCTCCCCGCTTTAAATTGAGCATCGGATAGAAGAAAACTTCTGTGATAGATGTAGTAATTTTATCGATTATGATTAGCTTCTTGTTTTGTTTTTGTTTTGTTAACTGCATTGGTATATACCATCCCATACCCCTTCCTTATCCCCCCCCCCCCAAACCCCCCACAC